TTGTGTAGGGCCAGAATTGGTCTCTCCTGCAAACACACTTTCAGGAAAGAAAATGCAGAATCTTGCTCCTCGGTCCATTGCCAAGAAGTATTGTACTTCAAAAGCCTCGTCAGAGGTTCGGCTAGCGCCGCAGAGTTTTTCAGGAAACGCCTAAAATAGCTTGCAAGGCCAATAAACTGCCTTACTTCGTTGACGTTTCTCGGTGTTGGGAAGTCAGTCACTGTCTTTCCTTTACATTCACCTGGCCCGAGTCCTGTGGTTCCGATTTCGAATCCCAGGTAGCTTATTGTTTTCGCCATGAACACGCATTTGTTCAGGCGAAGTGTCAGTCTCGCTTTTCGAAGAACTTAGAACACTTTTCGCAAATGATCAAGACCTTTTTTGAAGTCCCGCGACGGCATAAGAATATCATTCATGTACGCTAGAGCTACTCCGTAACGCAAGGATCCCAATACCACATTCATAATTTTTTTTTAAACGCCGCTGGGGCGTTGGTCAGTCCGAACGGCATTTTATACACTCGTAGTGTCCATCGGGAGTTACAAACGCAGTCTTCGCTTGTGATTCTTTGGACATCGGAATTTGATAATACCCTGACGTCAAGTCAGGAGTCGTAAAATACCCCTTGTCATGTAGTCGGTCCAACTGGTCTTCGATCTAGGGAAGCGGGTATTTGTCCTTCCTATGGTGACCCTGTTGAGTGCTCTGTAATCAATGCACAAACGTTCTTCACCTGTCTTTTTCTTCCCAGCAAGCAACAGACTGGCGTACTCGGACGAGGAGTCGCAAACTATACCCGCCTCTTTCAGCTCTTCGATAGCTTTGTTTGCTCTTAGTCGCCGATTGTGCGGTAGACGACATGGTCGAAAAGATAGCGGATTCGCATCTTCTGCGATATCAATTTTCATTTCGGCCTTGTTTGTGGTTCCCAACTCAAAGACATTATCCGCAAAACAATCACGATGCTCGTTTGTCAATTTGAAAAGTCGTTTGAATTCATCAGACGTTAATGCGGTTCCCGTGCGCACATCTTCTGGCCTAAAAGGTATTAGGCATTTCGAAGACACCATGTGGTCACCAGACGTTTCGGGTTCCTCGTGGCACCAAGAGCCCCGTGCAGTCACTTTTTCCTGTGTAGCATGAACAGCGGAATCCGAAACATTAAGGATTGGCAAGAACGAAGCCCCATTTTCGTCTACATGGATAATGCAGGAGGGCAAGCAATGCTCCTTACCCTCTTGCATGCGAAGTTGGGCATCGACGTAAACGTAGCCGTCTTTTTCGCCTCTCGCTTATAAGGTGATAATGCCAATGTACCCGGGGGGGGGGGGGGGGGGGGGGAGGGGGGGGGGGGGAGTATGACCTTTGACTGCTTTGCCCATAACGTGGCCCGACGGGGGAAGGTTTGGGGCGTTAATGCCTCTAAGTTGGTCGTCCCCATCATCAGCACTCTGGTTCTCTTCAAAAATTCGTAGAACGTTTTTACTTCTTACAATGGTAATGTGGGGCTGACCCGTAAACGGTTGGCCAACAAGCAGGAGAATTGTCTGGACATGACTTGGAACGATGTAAATCGGCACTTTTGCACTGGCCTGGTCGAAGGTGAGAGGCGCTTGGGTGATTCCGCAAGGAATCACGTGACCAGAACGGTAGCCTCCAATTTCGCACGTATATGTAGGCTTCGTATATGCAATACCGAGGTAGTCGGCGTCCGCCTGACGAAGCGTGATGCATTGACCACCAAGGTCCAAGTATGCCTTGACTGGCTTCCCGTCGATCAGTGCCTCTTGAAAATGTTTCTCATTTCGTGCGCCAACTATTTCTTTACTTTCCAGGCAGTGTGTCTTCGGAAAAGTTTCCGTGATGTTAAATCTGCAGTTGGCAGCCGCATGACCAACACGATGGTATTTTTCGCATCGTTTCCGATTTTTCGGTTCAGGACAGTGAATTGCAAAATGTTCGCAGTCGTTGCAGTTAAAGCATAATGACTCTCCGTTGTGGTTATATAAAGGCCTTCATCTGTTATTATCACCTGACGGGCCTGCTGCCCGGGCGCCGATTTCGTTCCGCGCTGACGTTCGTTTCGGGTGGGTGTTGCCTTGACCACGGCGAGTCGGTCGTCTATACGCTTAAGGCACTCAAGCAATGACTCTAGCGTCGAGAAAGTTCCAACGCTTAAACGTCGCATTATCGCCTCGTCATCAAGGCCAGTGACGACGTACTCAACAATTTGATCTTCAGGGAGTTGGCAGAGACGGGCGAGGCTAACCTTTTCATGGAAGTACAATTCGATGCTCTCACCCTTTCATCGTTTTTGAGCCACAATCTCCTGATGGCGACGCTGACAGCTTTTCACATCTGGAAACAATCTTTTCAATTCGTCTTTCCACTCTTGCCATCATCGCTGTACGCTCGAAAGTCCATCATACCATGTCTTTGGAACCCTTTTCAGTTTCGTGATGGCAAAGCACGACCTCTGTCGATCACTCCACGCGTAGATTCTGGAAAGTCCGTGAACTTTTCTACTCGATTGTTCTACTGTCTACGATGGAAATGCCACAGGATTAAAGACAGGTACAAGCTTTCAAGAGTCCACAGTGGGTCGTGCGTCTAGAAATGGCTGTTGGCCGACACGAAGAAGCGTAGCCATGCCGCTCATCGCCTCCCGCACGGCACTCTGGAGAGTCGTTTGCAGCAGCGTAACAAAGTCTTCATTTGTTGCACGAATTTCCGTTGCCAGATGGTTCTCCAACGCATCAGCGACTCTGTCGGTGTCGTCGATACCAGCAGTCACAGCTACAGGATTCGCTTCGTCATGTTGCTGAAGGGATCGAGTGTTGTCTACGACAGCCACGCTCGTGATTTCTCCATCGCCTGTTCTTTCGCAGCAACCTTGGTTTGCACCCGGCGGACGGCCTTGCAAGCGCTCCTTCTTTCGTAGATCGTGCCCGCGGTGCTGTCAGTCATCTCTAGAACGAGCTGGTTCGATGTGACACAGTTTCTACCGCTTTGAGAATCGTAGAATAAAGCTTCTCAACGGGTCCAGGTCGCAAACGTGTTCATCCCACTTCTGACTTGTTAGTCGTCAAATACGCAGTTGTCAAAAGGTAGAAAGCATTTTATATGTACAGAGCTTTTAACGTTCGTATCGTTGCACTTTTTGCGGGTGCTCGTCGTCGTCCTCGTCTCTTTATGATATCTCGTGCTCAGCAGGATGCTAAAAGGTGTGCTTCAATTCCTTGTATCATCGGTTTATGAATGCTTGGCAGGTTGTTACCACCGTGCGAGTGATAGTCTTTAACCTGGGATACGAGCAAGGTACGATTGCCTGCCGACAGCCGCTCGACAAATGTGTTTATATCGATAAAATTTAATGGGTCATTTCATTTATGTCACGATATACTTACATAGCCAAGAATTTTTTTAACTAACCCGTTTCAGGGCTAGACGTCGATTAAAAATTTTAGTCCGATTTATTGCCACCCTTTGGTCGATCAGTTATTCGATAAATCCGTCTCATTCATATCGAAGCATAATTTTGTTTCAAGTAAAAAAAAAAATACTTTCTTTTTACTGCTTAATATGTGATAAACGACGTAATATAGAATTTCGATTATGATTCCACCTTGATGTGTATTTAAGAACAGTGAAAGTACACTCACACTGACAAATTATTACTTGAGCTGCATGAGGCAAAGAGGTTCGTTGATATTCTCAAGCAAGAGCGACCTACTTTGATTGTTCACAATACTCTCCGATTCGCCAAGTTATCGTGAAACGGAGCATATAGTGCCGAGCGGTCGGTGGGATTGTTGCCGTCGAAGCTTTTTCTGGATATCTGGGGATCCAGCGTTCATCTCCGCCATGGTCGGTTTTGAGTACTACTTCTTTCTATTTTCTTGCTGCTTGATGTCGGGGCGCGCATGAAGAGCGCGTAGATGAGTAAATGTCCATTGGTCGTCGAGTAACTGAGAGACGCTGTCGACTACTGTCGGCTATACTGTTTTGATCGTAAAAAAGGGCGTAAGACACCCCTGGAGCTATCATGGCACTCTGGCTTAACTCGCGCAAAACTTACAAACATTGCGCTGCGTGAAGACGGAATTGTACGTACGTTTTGTCGTACGTACTTTTTTGGCGTAAGATTGTTTCGTGAATCTGGCCTTAAAACTTTTTGCACAGCGTGTGTGCGCAAGAGCGTTGGATGATTTTCATAGACCAGCGTTCGGACGTGACGTTGCCCAGGTGGGCTGGTGGATGTTGATCATGGTTCTCATTAGCTGACGTAAATTTTTGAAGATTGGATGTAGCAACAAAGGCGGGCTGTTAGCCCTCTCATCACTGCTCGGGTTGTGCCAAAACCGCATCTCTCAAAACCAAACGCCCTAAAGATCGTCGATATATGATTTACCAGGAACGCTGCTGGCAACTTGCTGCCCTACCAAAAAAACCAATTTGATTTTTTCCAGTCTAAATAAAAAAAAAAAAACAGTTTGATTGTTTCCAGCCTAAATTCATAGTGGATTATGGAACAGGAAACCGAAACTGGATTTCATCCACTGGAAACCGAAACTGGGTTTCATCCACTGGAAACCGAAACTGGGTTTTATCCGCTGGAAATAGAAACTGGCTTTTATCAGCTGGAAATTTAAACTGGATGTACTGAACTGTTGCATATAAAATGGAACGACTGGTTAATTTAATTAATTAAATTAATTTATTAATTAATAGCATTAATTTAAATGAGTACTATTAGTACATGATACACACAAGACCTCCGCCTAAGCTGGAAATAAATATGTTGACAATCAAAGCACAATTTGCTATGCATCACAAAAAAAGTGACAGATACCAATAGTCAAAACAGTGCAAATATTAGTTGAGCAGACATTTGCACTCTTAAAATAAATACCATAAAATAAAAATGAAATGCAACAATAGCATTTTATTGTTTCCACTTCACTGCTGGCTCTTGGCGATCGCTCTCTTGGCAGCTCTTTCATCTGCCCGGTTGTGGTCAACCAAGAAGTTGGAGAGGATGGTGCGGACAGGCACCAACCCGCGCTTTCCTTGTGACACCCTCTCGGATGCGGTTGTCCACCAAGTGGCCCAAAACCACTGCAAAATTAAGAACATAATTACGATGCACTTGTTATACATGGACAAATTTATTCCCTTTCATCTTAGTAGGAAACATTCCTAAATAAGGCATGGTTTACAAGCCAGGGGCTACAAGTAAAATATCCCTTCCCTAACATTCATAAAATAGATAAATCTAAAATCATATATGTCGGTTGCACTTACCCCCAATGGCATCGACCTTCTGAGGAGTCATTTCCTGCTTCCCACTGGCCCCCTGCTTTATGTAGCAACGACTAGGCTGGGCCAGTGAGACTACGGTTCATAAGCTCCTCATCAGTGTAAACGGAGCGTGTGATAAGATTTGTGAACTTTGAGTCAGTCTTTGCCTTTAGCATTGCTTTGTTCAACTGTTGTGTTGTTACAAATATTCCGTGCTTCAGATGCACCTGAAACAGAAAAAAAGAATTTGCGGTAACACTCTACTTGGTTATTTATTGGGAAGCTGTGCCATGCATAAAGCTATGCTCAAATGCCCCACGAATCCAGAAACCTATACATGGCTTGCATTAACGTCGTGCCAGCCACCATTGCTCCGTACCATGTTCCAGCTAGTGCCCTCATATTCTGCGGCATACATTTGGCACCATCGAATCTATTCTCCTCCGCAAGGCTTGCAAAGAATCAATTAGATGTTGCGAAATGTATGCAGCAGAAGGTACGGGGACAGGGGCGTGGTACGGAGCAACGGGGGCTGTTACAGTGCCATATGGCGTCGTATGCAAGGCATGTATATGGACACGTCTAAGATAGTATCGGTAGCACCACACAAATAAAAAAAGAATGACTGATTTGATAAACAGGGCAATTTCCTCTTCATTTACCCTTCCATCAATCTCGGCGAGTTCTGCAGGGAAGCCATGGTTGCCACTGTCGCCCCTGGGTGGAACAGCCTTGCGGCAACCTCCACTGAAATATTGCACATCAGTTAAAAAAACGTTTACAGTGATGTGACTGGTCTGAGTCAGTTTAGAACACCTTATGGAGCAGCCAAAACCATCTTGAAGCAACAAGAACTTTCGGAGCACAAGCACATACCGGGTGCCCCAGTTAGCGGGAACCAAGATATGAAAAAAGTGGAGCGCTCTATGGAAATTATACCGACTGCATATTAGTTAGCAAATGGCATGCGAAAGTGTCAACAGTTCTTATCGGGACAAATAAATTACGTCTGAGGAATTAGCTCACTTTTTAAAATACTGTTTTAGTGGCAAAGGTGTAAATAAAAAGTTGTAGAGTGCCCTAAAAAACACTTCACTGCTGTAGTTGCACCACATTAGGCAAAGCTTTGTTCTTTTTACCCCCCCCCCCCCCCCCTAAAACAAAAGGCCTGCGAAATTTAATAAAAAAATACTCTGTGACAATGCGCACTAGAATTCTGGTTTTTTTGTTTGTGAAAATTTTTGTCTTAGCATGCAAGGCCTTCCTTTTTCTTCTTTAATTGTTTTGCAACCACACATTAGCACTCACTCCACATCAGACAGCATAATCCCTCACACTCAATCAACATTTAAATGCGATTTTAAAAACAGGAGACAAAGCTGACGCATAGAAATTGCATGATGCCAATTGTGTTTGTAGTGGCCAGCCACGCACGGTGGCAGTTTCCGACATAACGTTGTGGCATAACTCTAGCCATATTTTGTATTACTTTAAAATAGACGAACCGGAAACTCTGCACGATTGCTCAAGCAGCAGGGCTACAAATCAGAGCTACCAGCTCGAGCTTGTATTATTATAAATTAGCCCATGCTAGGCTAAGACAACTTATAATGTAGTCCCGCCTTCAGTTACATTCAGCAGCAGAAAAAATTAAACACGTCTTGGTCCACGGGCAGAGTTGGATGACACATTAAGTGCACAATATCATTTGAGCAATTAATAGCTTGTAAAGTGAACTAAAAGCCTAGGAAATCTTAGTAGAAACAATGTGCACTCAGCATCATCCGACTTTACCTGTAGGATCAAGGTATTCTTTTTTAAATATGCAAGTATCTGATGCATGCATGCGCATGCTACCTGGAGGAGTGCTGTTCCCCTCGGCACGTGGCTGCACTGCGGCGAAGTTAGATGCACAAAATCGCTATGACTATCTTATAAATGTCACTTGTCCGCTATAGACCTGTGTGGTAAAAAGCTCACTCAACTGAGCTAGCTAACAAGCCCTAATGGATAACGAACAAAGATAGACATTTAGACATTGCGGAACTTCCAAAAAAGCTCAGTGTTCGTTGCCAACATCAAACTATAAACAATACATTATTCGAAGCGATAACCGAATGTTTTCGAAAATTCATTTGCACAAGCGTACCCTAACAATTTGGCCTGAGCTTTCAAAATTGATACTGTCGAGACCGGCTATAACGAAATAGCGGCTACAGCAAAGCGAACACAATCTCCCATTCCAGTTTGCACTTTTGCAATGCATTTGTGTGTTTTTAGCGAAGGAAATTGTGCGGCTCCTGCGGACAGAGCGAAGAAAAATTATGTGATAATTTAAAAAAAGAATAAAATTTGGTAAGTTTAATAAGCCTCGGACCGCCGCACTTTGCTGCCGCGTCCAAGAAGCCATCCAGAACAGGCTGCAGAAGATGCTGGAAAGGCCGCCGGCGGCAGTCTCTGCAACGTCGTCTGCTCCCCGCTCCTTATTTGGGAAGCGGCTTTACCGCATTGCACGCAGAAAAGCGGTCGTGGCATGCCAATAGGGGCGTTCGGAGCGCAAGCAACAACGTTCCGGCAGATACATCAGAGAGAGACTAGATTTAAGAGAGGGGGCAGAGAGGATGCCTGCACTTGATTATTGCGTGGCCAGTGAGGCGAGAAAACTTGGCGGAGAGGCGGACACGTTCGCAGAAAGAGAAGGTTTTGGAGTTTTGACTCCTTTGCATACCGCAGCCCATTTTGCAAATGCGGCCAACAAACCACTCGACCCCGATCAAACGGTTGCCCCATCTCTTAAATCTAGGCTCTCTATACCGACGACAGAGTAGCTTGAGCGCGAACTCGGTGCCGTGCGCGTTTCTTTGTTTGCTTCATGATCTGTGTCAGCGTCTGTTCGGTGAGGTCGATCTTGTGCGCAAGTCTACTTCGCTCAAGCACCAATTCGGCGAATCATCGCCATTCAACGATGGGGAGTCCCTGCATTACCGGCACCTCGACGGGGAAGACAAAGCCAATCTCTCTGAATCAAAAGCGTGCCATCCTCGATGAAGTGCACATAAACATAAAGAACGCCGTCCGTCGGCGTCCTCTGAGGAGCCACCGGAGCTGTTGACACGCTCCGCACGTAGCAGGATCTGTTTTTTTTCGATCGGAGCTTCTCGCAGTTGGCGAGAAGCGGCTCCGACCTAGCAGAGGGCACGTGCAGGGAAGCCTCGACTGCTTTCTGCAGGCACGATAAACGTGTGCCTGTGGCAACACGTGTCATCTTTTTTTCATCTTATTTGTACGTGTTCATATATAACGATTAAACGGATCTAGCAAAGCGATTTCTGATTCCCGTGGACCTCATCATAGCCGGTCTAGACAGTACATTAAAATTCGCTAGCTTTTGTTGCGCTGTCGGCCTGACTTCCTTAAATATCAGTAAACTGTAGCAGGATATAGCAGGGAACACTTCAGTGAAATTGCGCAGCAATCACATCACCGAGTTTAGGTGAAAAGAGTAACAGACTAAATGCACAAGTGAAACTGGGAAATTAATGACAGCATAGCCTGCTTCAAAAGTCAAACTCTGATCCAGCTCATGTAATACAACATTAGAAGTAAATCAGAGTCTGCTGGGAGGCTAGGTGGCAGTGGACACTTCAATCTGAAACTGCGCCTGTAGGTATTGAAGAAGCTACATTCTTAGGTTACAATAAATTATAGTCATTGCATCACTGCAACCACTGGTTACATGTTCCATGGCACATGTTGCATTTCTTGGGTTCGGTCATGCTTTTGCCTCCGAGCATGGTGTCCTTTCTTTGCACAATTCGGTAAAACAGCAAAAATATATGAACTTCTGAGTGAGCATAGCCATTAATCAGACGCGTACTGTGTTTGTCACCACGACTGCGTGGATCATGTTAAAGACCCCAGACTAGTGGCTGTACTGCACTGGCTAAATCGCTCATCTACAGCTGGTAGACAAGTTGCCTGTTGAGACAGACAAAGTTGTAGGCTAAATAAACATGCACAAAACCCAATTTTTTTATGTGAAAGCATTAATTGTTTTATGGAGCGAGCCGACGTTATCAGCTTTGAAGATACACCAAACGGCACCTTAAATCCTTTCTCCAAGTGAAGCCAGCTCCCAGCTATGAAACCACGGGAAAAGCCTAGCAAAACGGCACTATAGTTTCTCTGATCCCAAAGGTCAGTTTCAACGACTGCCACCCCATGGCGCTGCGTGTCCGCGAGGCAGCGGCTCCATTGCTCCATGCGCAAGGTGCGCGCGTACTTGACCGTCCACGCAAGTGAGCGGAAGAGCGGCGTGCATGCTTTCACATTCACAACTCATAAAAAGTGCTTAGGTGTACCTCGAGCCTTTTTTCTTTTGCACCGCCAAGACAGCTGGTTGGACGATTCTCCTCTTGAGCCACCTCCTTGATCAATGCACTGTCCTCTAGAACAAGCGTAGAAAACACTATGTAACCTTGGCTCAGAACAAGCACAAACCCAGTATATCAAGCAGACTTACCATGCTTGCCACCCGCACCCCCAAAGTGACCAGAAGGATGAACCTCCTCCGCCTCATTCGTATACTCTCGAAGCACGGTTTCTTCGTCGCTATCGCTCATAGCGCTGTTCTTTTACCTCCTGCCCGTCGCATCCACAAGGGACGCCTTTTTCCAAAGTCCTGTTCCATACCGAAAAAATCAGCGCTTGGCGCTGCAACAATGAACACCCGGACTCCCGAACACGTGGGAGGCGCGGTAAAAGTGGTCATGTCAGCGAGGATGTGGAAAAAATAAACACACCCAAACTCTTTTTTTTTTTTTTTTTGCGTTTTTCCGGAGCAACGTTACGGACGTCTAAATACCTATACCACTTATTTCGACGGTAGCCGTCAACTTCCCTTAATCGATTTCCGAAAAAAGCCGTCTCAGGCAGAACGGTATACGTTTAAGGCCCGTTCACCCACTTGCGTTTGACTACGACAGACTTTGACACGACCGATTTTTAAGCCCCTTGTGACGCCTTAAAGGGATACTACAACAAATTTTCGGCGCTAATTTCTCGGACTATTCGTGTTCAAAGGAGCGGTATCACATCGGACACACCAATATCTTGTAAAAAAGACACAAAAAGGAATTTCAAAACGAATTAAACGATTAGCAAAGAGCACCTGGTGGATGTCGCTAAAGCCTCGTTTGTAATGCCCGTCTAGGAACCTTGGCAGGTAGTGACGAAAATTGTCTCGCCTCCGGCCACCACGAGAAAAGAGGGGAAGGAGGAACTTCCCTCTTCCCGAGAATCCCTTTTGTGTGTCCCAGAAGTCGCTATTGTCCCTATGCAAGATTGACCCGTCACTCAAAATTCGTATAAAAGCAGCCGCTTCGGTGGCTCGAACGACTAGGCCATCCTCTCGACGTCAGCCTCGCCGCAGCTTTGCTCGTCCCGAGACGAATTACGTCAAGAATGCGTCGGATGTCACGTGCTCTCCTCTGGCTGCTCTCCGAGCGCTTGCCAGAGTGGGCCGTTTATAACAAAAAACACATCCATTAGGTTCAAAATACAAACGTGCGATTGTCATTTACGAATATTGTGGATCACATTCAACCTAATTTTGAACACGGCGGGTATATTTCAAATTTCGTTGAAGTATCTCTTTAAGGTCCGTTCACACACTTGCGTTTGACTCCAACCAACTGAGGCAAGACCGGTTTTTAAGCCTCTTGCGACGTCTTAAGCACCGTTCACACTCTTGCGACCGAGTAAAACCGAGAGAGACCCGACCGGTTTTTAAGCCTTTTGCGACTTCTTAGGACCGGGTGCGCTGCTGCGGAGCTGGTCCTAAGACGTCACAAGAGGCTTAAAAACCGGTCTTGTCTCACTCAGTCGGAGTCAAGCGCAAGTGTGTGAACGGGCCTTTACGGCCGGTTGCGCTGATGCGGAGAGGGTCGTAAATATCGCGAAAGGCTCCAAAACAGGTTTTTATCAATCAATCAATCAACATTCAGGCACAGTCGTTGCTGTGTTACAATCACATTTGGTCTTAATTATTTTTTTATTATTTGCATGCAGAAGTCTGCTAGTTTGGGACACGAGAGTTCAGTTATTAGAATAGGGTGGGCGAGGTGGTTTTAGACCTAAATACTTAACCACAAAGATTACTTTGTTGTATATATTGCTTTATCACTCAAGTCCCCATATGTAAGATGAGAGTAAATAAATTAATTTAAAAACAAACCAGTAATTAAAGGGGTCATGAAACAATATTGGGCGTACAGGTCTTAGTCTGAATGTATGGACACACGGTATTGGTAGTGATAATAAACCTTCTATAAATAGTAAAATATTGTTAATGGTTGTTTTTTCAATTTCAATTTTTTCACTCCCCCCCCCCCCTCCTTTTCTTTTTATTTCGACCGCTAGACCCTTAAAGGGATACTACAACGAAATTTCGGCGCTCATTTTTTGGTCTATATGTGTTCAAAAGAGCAGTATCACATGGAACATACCAATATCTTGTTAAAAAAGTCTCGAAAAGGAATTTTAAGACGAATTAAACGATTAGCAAAGAGCACCTGGTGGATGTCGCTAACGCCTCGTTTGTAATGCCCGTCTATGAACCTTGACAGTAGTGACGGTGAGTGTCTCGCCTCCGGCCACGACGAGAGAAGAAGGGAAGGAGGAACTCCCCTCTTTCCGAGAATGCCTTTTGTGTGTCGCAGAAGTCGTTATTGTCCCCCTACAAGATTGCAGAAGATTAACCCGTCACTCAAAATTCGTACATAAGCAGCCGCTTCGGTGGCTGGAACGACTAGGCCATCCTCTCGACGTCAGCCTCGCCGTAGCTTTGCTTGTCTTGAGACGACCTACGTCACGACTGCGTTGGATGTCACGTGCTCTAAGCTGGGCCTTCTCCGAGCGCTTGCCAGAGTGGGCCGTTTATAACAAAAAATACAGCCACTAGGATCAAAATAAGAACGTGCGATTGTCATTTACGGATATTGTGGATCATATTCAACCTATTTTTGAACACGACGGGAATATTTCAAATTTCGTTGAAGTATCCCTTTAAAGGTGCCCTCCGGAGCTTTCTGCGATCGTCTGTTTATGTTGTTATATTGCGTAGTAGGTGAAAGTTAATATGTATACAAAGTTTTAGAGTACAAAACCGTTTATTAAGTAAATGGCAGTAGAAATATATCGTTACTATTTTCTCTTGAAAGACAATCGCCCATTCCCTGGCCTTCGCTAAAACTTGACCAATGGAAATGCTGCATCTCGCGGTGAATGCGAACGTTATTATTGGAATACTTTTTAAGCTTGTTGTAAATTAGAGTTTGAGAAAAACGTAAACTGATTGTGGTGCGGGAAACATAGTTTGCAATTATCGTTCCAAAGCCAGCGAACTATGTTTCCTCCACGCAAGCTTGTTGCTAGGGGGTGATGCGTCGGCGCGTCGGGTCGTCTGCTTCCCGGGGCGTGTGCAGGCTTGCGTTTGCGGGACACGTGTTCTTTCTTCCCGTGGATCCCGACTCCGAAGCCAGCTTTGCGATCCTTCCACGTGAATGAGTCAAACTTTTCCTTGTCATCTGTGGAATGCGACTGCGTATTGCAATAGTTTCTTTTATCCTTTGAGTGAGCGATTTCCCTGAAATGCCGAACGTTTGTTTCGTCAAGACGTGCCGCCATCAAACTGGGAAGAACGTTCGCAAGGGCGATTCTTCTCTTTGCCGGAGAAAGAACCACGAAGGACTGCGTGGTTACGCTGCGCCGGGCGAGGGCACGACATCGAGAACCTGCCTCTCATTCCCCGTTTTTGTGCCGAACATTTCGAGCCGACTGCTTTCCGAAAGGACGACCTGCGTCGTTCACGTCTTCGATCAGATGCTGTGCCGACGCTTCTGCTTCCCGTCGCCGATGAGACCGACGATCCTCCCCCAAAGCGCCAAAAAGTCGTGGTGAGTTTTTCGATGGCTCAAATATTTTTGGGAGTGTCACGAACATGGCATTCTGCGTTGCGCAGTGCGGCTGCTTCTGGTATCTATATTCTGAACTAAGAACTGAGGAGGCATTTGTGTAACATGGGAATCCACATGGCATTCGTCAAGTCGATCAGTGGTGCATAATGTTCCGGACTAGCGGTTCGAGAGCTTATCGCGCGAATGGTGCGGTGCATGGGGTTCTTCATTTTCGGGTTTTATATTTTTAAAAAATCGGGGGGTAAAAATTGGGCGCTATTTTTCCGGGCGATAATCGGAAAGAAATCGGGTTTTTCCAGAAACCATTCCGAAATTCGGATTTTTTTTCGGGATTTCTTTATCAATTACAAATACGTGCAATGTGTTATTTACATGAACAAATGTAAACAAAATATATTATATAGGCATAGGATATGTTTCTACCTTCTGATCGGCTCTGAAGTGAATCTTTGCGGAGGTCACGCAAATCGAAGAAAATTGTAGCCATCAACGGATGACCAAGGAAACACCGTTTAAACAGATCCAGAATGGTTCATATTTTCTATCAAGTCAGGTGATTTCAACACTGCTTTTCAGGGAGAAATCGGGTTTAACCCGATTTTCATCAGAACTATTCGGGGAAGAAAAATTAGGTATTATCGGGTTTTACCCGAAAACGAAGAACCCTATCAGCATGCACCACCAGGATCGAACTCATTTGTAAAAAGAAAACACGAACAAATAAGATAAGAGGACACAGTCATAAATCGCCTCTAATGGTACCACCATCACCACCCCCCTCTGCTATTGACCCACCCGAAATCAATAAATGTTTTCCCAGCTTGTTTACAGACAGGAACCCTTTCGTATCAGCTTAGCAAAGTTCCAAGTGTCCGTGACTACTAACAAGCAGGTTTTCTTTTATATCTACTCTTGTGAGCAAACTCAGTCTTTTTTTTTTCTTCTCATAATCCTGCGCCCACGATTGCGTGCAAACCCGCGTTTGCAAATTTGTATGCACATAGCAAATGCACGCCATAATTTTGTTGCTTGGTGGCACTTCTGGACGTTGAGAACTCATGGCAGTTGCTGCATGTTTCCCACTTGCGGCTATAAGTGCTTGTTGGTTGCATTTCCTTCAGTGGTTGGTAAATACATGTCAAGCTGCAGCTTTACATATGTATGTAATGTGACATCATATCGCGACATGAACATTTATTGTTGCTGAGCTAGAAACTGAAAATATAGATGGTAATGTAAGTTATAAAAACAAATATAAAGAGTGAGGCATCCCTTAGATTAGTATTACAGTGAGAGCTTTGGTTGAGTGCATGAAATTCTAAGCTATGGAAAGGCTACAAAACAATTCATGGATGTTTGCCATCAGCTAAAAAATAAGGCATCATGGATGTTTGCCGCGGTGACGGCATTGTGTGGAGTGCTCGAGTTGCACCCTTCAACCTTGAAAATATGAAATATGTAATAAACAGTGCCATTTGCAGACTCAGGTCTTGGCAACTGGACTGCCTGCACCCTGCGAGGCAGAAATGACCCTCAGGGACTGTACTGTTGAGACAAACATCCCCGCAGTGGTGCCACCTGTCCCTGTCGCAGACGTGCCTGCACAGTCGCATCCACCTGAGTCTGCCTTCTCCCCTTGTAGCAGTAAGGTGCCATATGAATGCACATCTTCTGTTCCCAGCAACATGCCAGACTCTGACGCAACCTACTCTCCGTCTCACAGCGAGGATTACGAGAGGTAAGTTGTGCATATAAACACATAGAATCTGTAAAGAATGCTTCACATGATCCCATTTCAGAATCGAGCATGGTGCATCAGCTCCACCACCACAACCAGAAGAAGAGCGCCAGTTTCTGGTGTTCGAGAGCTGCCTAAGGGAGCTTTTCAAGACGTGCCAAGAGTGCTCAAGACTGTGCCAAACAACGATCGAAACTACCGGCACACTGATCACAGTCTACAGCATCTGCCCTGTGGAGCACGTGCGCACATGGAAAAGCCAGCCCATCGTCAACGGCAGACCAGCAGGGAACATACTGCTGACCAGCCACCTGGTCTTCTCTGGAGTGAAGATTGCCCCTAAGCTGCGGATGCTACGCCATATGAACGTGCAGGTCATCTCCGACTCGAGCTTCTACGAGCATCGGAAGGCCTTCGCTCTACCTGCAATCCACAAGGTGAGCAATATTCCGGGACACTGCAGCTGCATTTTTTTCCCATAAACCCAATTTTCGAATGAGGTACAAAACTGGAGCCCCAGTCACACTTCGGTTAAATGAATAAATATCTTCTTGTAGTATGCCACTTCTATGGTATAGTGCTAAGAGATAAAATTTTATACATCATGTTACATATGTGCCATGGGCTACTAAATCCACGATGCTTTAATTTATTTCTGCTATGTGTAGTATCCTGGGCAGTTCCCTGTCTGGCATTGGGTTGAGTGAGTCAGGTTCCCCGTGAGAGTCAAGAGACAGAGGGTGGTTGTTAGAATGGAAAAGGGTAGGGCAGCTTCGAGGTAACGGGCGGCCTGCTGCCTCTTTTATGAAATACACAAACATAAAAACACAAATCACAACCTAGCACAATCTAAGTCATATTCAAACTCGCTGCATTGTGCTTTCCTTTTTCTTTCACTCAGTCACTCATTCTACAACACTACACTATGCATACATAAACAGATGGGACTATTGTAGTATGCTCCATGCCTTTCTAAAGCAATATTTATCTGCATGAACAGGTCTGGCTGCAAGAGTAACAGGAACTTCTCAACGAGTTGCAGAACAAAGAGGTGGACATCTCTGCTGACGGGAGATTTGACTCCCCTGGGTTCTGTGCCAAGTACCTGACGTACACAGTCCATGTCGAGCAAATCAACAAGATTCTAGACTCTGTCCAGGTCCAGCTAAAAGAGGCAAGTAGTCAGATTTACGTGAACCAGTTGCAACAATCTCATAATCTTTCTCTTGTGTTATGTCATCAGTTACTTCACTGCTATGCACTATTTTGGTAAAATATTTATTTCACACCTTTTTTAGTCTGAACAGGCCATGGCCAGTGTCAACATGGAGAAGGAGGGCCTCCTCAAGCAGCTGCAATTCTTCAAGGAGAAAGGTATGTTCATGCATAGTTCGTGTATATCACTACTCGGCGGCCTTTCAGGCACTCTGTTCAAATTGGCATAATCACTTATTCTTTTGCTATCTTCGGAAACCTAATGGTGCAGGTATCAAGATCCGATCGTTGGTGACTGACCGTCACCCTGCCACACGAAAGCACATGAAGACGCATGAACCCGGGATTGACCACTTCTTTGACGTATGGCACATCTCCAAAAGTAAGCAATCCTAACAGGCCATTCGTGTAGCTCTTATTTTCCAGCGATCACGCTGCAGGTTTCCCTGACACGACTCTGAATTTTAGGTGTGAAAAAGAAGCTGACAGCAGCAAGCAAACGGGCTGGATGCCAAGACCTGCAAATCTGGATCCAGACAGCTACAAACCATATGTACTGGTCAGCAAGGGCTGCAGGAGGCGACGAGAAACTGCTCATCGACATCTGGCTCAGCATGCACAACCATGTCATCAACAAACACTCGGGGCACGAAGGAACCTATGGAAGGTGCCTCCATGGTGACATGCCAGAGCCAACACGACCATGGATGGATCCCAGTATGTTTTTGTTCTTCCAAATGAAGGTGGTTTTTCTAAAACATGTATCATCCTCAGACTCGCAGGCCTACAACCAATTCAAGAGCATCACTGGCAACAAACTGCTCCTGAAGGACCTTGCACAGATGTCTCCACATGGTCAGACATATGCTTTGGAGGCGTTCCACAGCGTCCTGATAGACTTTGCTCCGAAGTCCCAGGCTTTCAGCCCAGAAGGCATGCTTGCAAAGTAAGTCAACCAATTTACAATCACATTTCCTTCGTTTGGACACTTTCATCCAGTCCATTGGTTACAATGCGACAAACCTGACAGTCTCTTCCTAACGATCAGATAATGGAATTGGATTGATGCCAGAATAACCACTCTTTGTAAGTGGCACACTTTACCATCACTGAAATGTAACCATCTTACAGGACTCGACTTGCAATCCTCCATTTCAACGAAAACTCAAACCGCTGCCAAGCCGTCACACGAGAGGGCAAGCCACGTTGGTCGGTCGTAGCATCAAAAGCACGAAAGGGCCACCACACAGCACGACCAGAGATTACGGATCCCACTTACAGTGAGTATAACACTAACTGCAGTGTGAATGCCTTGTCCAGAGAGCCTAGGAATGTTATCATGCAAAGGTTTGAATTCTAGAGTATGTTGGAAAGCTCATCAAGGAGGCAATGGAGAGCAGCAAACAGTGACGGTCCCTGGCTGCTGCATCGAAGGCCAACACCGTCGTCTTCCCGGGACCGATGACTGCAGCCTACACAAGGCCTCCAAAAGAGGAACTCGTGGCAGCACGAATGTCCAGGTTCGGCCAGAGTCCCCAGTAACGGCATCAAATCCCTAGTCGGGACTTCCATGCTGCCGCAGGTAAGCACACAGGACCTTGGTCCTAATCAGGGTGTAAGATAAGCAGGTGGGGAAACGGCCCATAGAAGCCTACCGCAGCGCCGTGACCGGATTGTGTACTCGTCTGCTTGCGGGTACCCCCGATTTGCAACAGATGGCGCTGCGGCGAGAGGAAAAAAATCGGAATCAGATTTGCATGGAACTTTATGGGAGAGTGCGCAAAATATATAGAGAGCACGACAGTCTTTATTGAAAATCCACGAGAAACCATCTCCGTCAGTTTAGCCAGTCGCCACCGGTCGCCCACCTGGAGTGAGAGTTTGCGGTGCTCCACATCGATGGCGCCACAGAAAAAGAGAAAACCGAGGGGTACACAATCCGGTCGCTCATTTGGCTCTCGTTTCCCCACCTGTCTATCATACACCCTGGTCCTGATACAGCCTTGCATGGTAAGCAACCGCTTTGTTTTGCAGGACGTACGGCGAATGCAAGCAGACAGACCCAAGAGAAAACAGCCGAGCTGCAAAATGGTTCACCATTTTCCATTAGGACACCCTGACCGACAGTAAGGAGGAAGTTAGATCTGTCTGCAATCATTTTTCACAGAAATGCAGATCTCTCTTCATGAGAATGTTCCATTTTAGGGCCTAATCAAGCTGGTCATGGCATGCCTATCTCAAAAGAGGGCAAGGAACTTTAGCCGGTGGCAATGTCGGAGTCACAGAAAAGTCACCAAACAGCGAGACTCAAGGCTACAGCTCAACTTGCGGTGAGGACGACACTAACTTCAGTGTAAACGCCCATCTAGCCCAACTTGGAATGTCTAGGAATGTAATTATGCAACAGTCTGAATTTTCACTGTAGGTTGGAAAGTCTGTCAACGAGGCGGACAGCAGCAGGCAGCAAAGACCTGGTTGGATCTTTCATGCTGCCAGTGGTAAGCACACAGGAGCCTCGTCCTAATGAAAACTACCATGGTAGGCAACCGCTTTGTTTTGCAGGACGTACGGCGAATGCAAGCAGACAGACCCAAGAGAAAACAGCCGAGCTGCAAAATGGTTCACCATTTTCCATTAGGACACCCTGACCGACAGTAAGGAGGAAGTTAGATCTGTCTGCAATCATTTTTCACAGAAATGCAGATCTCTCTTCATGAGAATGTTCCATTTTAGGGCCTAATCAAGCTGGTCATGGCATGCCTATCTCAAAAGAGGGCAAGGAACTTTAGCCGGTGGCAATGTCGGAGTCACAGAAAAGTCACCAAACAGCGAGACTCAAGGCTACAGCTCAACTTGCGGTGAGGACGACACTAACTTCAGTGTAAACGCCCATCTAGCCCAACTTGGAATGTCTAGGAATGTAATTATGCAACAGTCTGAATTTTCACTGTAGGTTGGAAAGTCTGTCAACGAGGCGGACAGCAGCAGGCAGCAAAGACCTGGTTGGATCTTTCATGCTGCCAGTGGTAAGCACACAGGAGCCTCGTCCTAATGAAAACTACCATGGTAGGCAACCGCTTTGTTTTGCAGGACGTACGGCGAATGCAAGCAGACAGACCCAAGAGAAAACAGCCGAGCTGCAAAATGGATCACCATTTTCCGTTAGACACCTTGACCGACAGTAAGGAGGACATTAGATCTGTCCGCAATCATTTTTCGCAGAAATACAGATCTCTCCTCATGAGAATGTTCCATTTTAGGGCCTAATCAAGCTGGTCATGGCATGCCTATCTCAAAAGAGGGCAAGTAACTTTAGCCGGTGGCAATGTCGGAGTCACAGAAAATTCACAAAACAGCGAGATTCAAGGCTACAGCTCAACTTGCGGTGAGGACGACACTAACTTCAGTGTGAACGCCCATCTAGCCCAACCTGGAATGTCTAGGAATGTAATTATGCAACAGTCTGAATTTTCACTGTAGGTTGGAAAGTCTGTCAACGAGGCGGACAGCAGCAGGCAGCAAAGACCTGGTTGGATCTTTCATGCTGCCAGTGGTAAGCACACAGGAACCTCGTCCCAATGAAACCTACCATGGTAGGCAACCGCTTTGTTTTGCAGGACGTACGGCGAATGCAAGCAGACAGACCCAAGAGAAAACAGCCGAGCTGCAAAATGGATCACCATTTTCCGTTAGGACACCCTGACCGACAGTAAGGAGGACATTAGATCTGTCCGCAATCATTTTTCGCAGAAATACAGATCTCTCCTCATGAGAATGTTCCATTTTAGGGCCTAATCAAGCTGGTCATGGCATGCCTATCTCAAAAGAGGGCAAGTAACTTTAGCCGGTGGCAATGTCGGAGTCACAGAAAATTCACAAAACAGCGAGATTCAAGGCTACAGCTCAACTTGCGGTGAGGACGACACTAACTTCAGTGTGAACGCCCATCTAGCCCAACCTGGAATGTCTAGGAATGTAATTATGCAACAGTCTGAATTTTCACTGTAGGTTGGAAAGTCTGTCAACGAGGCGGACAGCAGCAGGCAGCAAAGACCTGGTTGGATCTTTCATGCTGCCAGTGGTAAGCACACAGGAACCTCGTCCTAATGAAACCTACCATGGTAGGCAACCGCTTTGTTTTGCAGGACGTACGGCGAATGCAAGCAGACAGACCCAAGAGAAAACAGCCGAGCTGCAAAATGGATCACCATTTTCCGTTAGGACACCCTGACCGACAGTAAGGAGGACATTAGATCTGTCCGCAATCATTTTTCGCAGAAATACAGATCTCTCCTCATGAGAATGTTCCATTTTAGGGCCTAATCAAGCTGGTCATGGCATGCCTATCTCAAAAGAGGGCAAGTAACTTTAGCCGGTGGCAATGTCGGAGTCACAGAAAATTCACAAAACAGCGAGATTCAAGGCTACAGCTCAACTTGCGGTGAGGACGACACTAACTTCAGTGTGAACGCCCATCTAGCCCAACCTGGAATGTCTAGGAATGTAATTATGCAACAGTCTGAATTTTCACTGTAGGTTGGAAAGTCTGTCAACGAGGCGGACAGCAGCAGGCAGCAAAGACCTGGTTGGATCTTTCATGCTGCCAGTGGTAAGCACACAGGAACCTCGTCCTAATGAAACCTACCATGGTAGGCAACCGCTTTGTTTTGCAGGACGTACGGCGAATGCAAGCAGACAGACCCAAGAGAAAACAGCCGAGCTGCAAAATGGATCATCGTTTTCCATTAGGGCACCCTGACCGACAGTAAGGAGGACATTAGATCTGTCTGCAATCATTTTTCA